GTGGGTCTTTGGCTTGCCTTAGATGAAATGGTTTGTGGTTATTTTGTCTTCATCATAGTCATCTTTGCACTATCCCACTGCCTTCCTTAAGAGGCTCAGCTTCATAATAATTCTGTCCTAGTTCCCTGGAAACCCATAGGATTAACCACACCCATTTTTAAAACATGAAAGCAACACTGTCTTAGGTAATTAAATCAAATTCTTAGAGTTAACACATTCTCTTTCAAAATAACACTATCTGTCAATGCTGCAAATACTGTATATTCTTGCTTTGACAATATGCAAAACTGTCTGGTATTTACTGGGTTAATACATAGCTTAGAGTGGGGGGGGGGTAAAAAGCCCGGGAAAGAAAGAGGAAGTAAACTTTTGACCTTCACACTAATTGGATAATGTGACTGCAAGATAAGGGAGGGGTTTAGCAAGAAAAGTTTGATGCCGGCAAGAGGAAGTCAGATTCTGGCATCAAAATGTCCGTGATGGTGACCGGCAATTTGTAGCTCTGTAATAAAGGCTTTAGGAAACATGCCTGAAAGTTCTTTGAAGTGTTTCATTAGTCGGAAGCCTGACACTATCCCATACAGCAGTGGTTCCCCAACCTTTTCAGCTTCGCAGACCGGTGGGGGCAGGGGGGAAAGAGGGGTTCCAGGCCACGCCTGCCGCTCACATGGCCTGGTTTTGAACAGGCCACAGCCTGGTACCCGGCCGTGGCCTGGGAGTTGGGGACCCCTGGCATAGAGCTTTTGGAATACTATTGTTGGTGGTGATTCTCTGGTGTGCCTTTCATGGAAGGTCATTGCAATGTATATCAACTCAAGCCAAGATGCCACATATCTGTGGAGTTGGGAAGTCTAGGGCAAAAAAATTGTTGCACTTCATATTTATTCCCTTTTATTTTGCTTTTGGAAGTGTTTCAGATGTCTAAAGTGTATTGCTGCTCATTTCCCCCCTTTCCTGTTGTTGCTTTTTTTTTTTTTAACTCTTTTAACAGTGTCTCTCCTTTCTCGTTGGCATTATTCCTCTGGGAGAGAGAAAGCGAATGATGACAGTATATCACCAAAATACTGTTTCTGAATCTGTGGGAAGCCTTTAAACTGTTGCTTTCAATCTGCAGAGAAAATACATCTGCTGAGGTTGAGAAACAGTGTTCTAGCCACTCTTACAAGGAAAAGAAGTTTTAAAAAAGGAAATCAAAATTTCTAAAAACACATATGTATAAACTCCAAATGCAGTTTCAAAGTAGCAACCCAGTTTTGTACTAAAGATCACTGGGTAGAATAATGCCTATTTTTAAGGACACGTTAAATTATTGTACAGGATACAGTACAGATATTTTTATCTATATAATTAGTGTGAACACCCAATCCAGATGAGAACTTCCATGCATACATAGATGGAGGAACCTTAAAGCTTCCTTTCATCCAATTAGTTTTAGAATCTCACCTTCTCGCCTAACATGCAACTAAAAAAGAAAGGAATTTTTTTTTTTTAAAAAAAAAAAAAGATACTGTTCACAGTGGAGATTCAGGGTTGTTTTTCCATCCTCCCATTTTTTTTATTTGAATGCAGGGGTGTAGACACTTCTGAAACACAAGTGTGGAAAGGAGGCAGCACACCTTTATAATCTGTGTCCAGAAACAGCCTATCTCTAGAAATCGTAGAGAATATTTGTAGCTCAGGTTGTAGAGTTAGGCAGAGGTTTGAACTCCAAGTTTGCTACTTGACTCAGGGATGTTTTGTTACCAAACTAGATAACATCTTCAGTTGGGTTTTGGGTGAAATGTTTGTTTATATAGGTCCTGGGTGGTTGGTTGTTCTTGTGACAGGTGGAATCACAAGTTTGATTGAGTCATAAGACTGATTGAATCACAAGGTTGATTCTGGTCCTGTGACCTCTGACTGGTTTTTATGAGGCGCAAAATTCAACTGGTGAGGGGGTGGTCAGCTTTGTTGTTGATTGGTGATTCGGATGATCCACTTCCTTATTGGTTCATACGGTAGTTCTAAGTCAATGTGTTTGTTGATGGCCCTGTTAGTGGAATGTCAGGCTTCAATAAACCTATCTCTATTTATTACTCATGTAAACACAGGCAAAAATGAAAGTTTTCTAATTCTGGTTTATATTAATAAACTATCCTTTGAGGTAGCTCAGATGTACATGGTAATTCCCGTCTTATGTCTGGTCATTTAGCGACAGACCTAAATAAAGCTACTTATGACCTGGATTTGAAGCTCTGATGATCAGGTCCCTCTGCAGTCACATGATCTCATTTTGGACACTTGGCAACCGGCCCGCATTTATGTGACTGCAATTACCATTGTTTTTGCCAGAAACTGGTATTTACTTCTGGTTTCTGACAAATAATGCCCTTTGCAGATAATCGGGTTACTTATTACCAATTGCAGTATTCGCTTAATGACTGCTGCAGAAAAGGTCATAAAATGGCTGTGCAGAGGTGACCCACTTAATGACCAGCACAACTTATTACCATAATTTTGGACTCAGTTGCGTTCATAAGTCAAGGAACTACCTGTAAAGGCATACTATGGTTTAATCAGATTCAGACAATTGTTGTTTTAAATCTCCTTGTAGCTATGCTGGAGGACCAAAGAGAAAGTCCCAAGTAGGACAGGCTCATTTACTAAACTGTGTGATGATTTTAAGTAGCATTTTTATCAGTGCTATTATTCAAGCAGGACTTCTGTAGAGTAACGAGCATAAAGCAGATACGTGCCAGCTCAAAAATGTGCTTTATGCAGAAGCAGCGATGAGCTCCACTTTATGAAAAATCAAGGACAGATACCCCAGATGCATACAATAAAAATTTCATTGAAGTATAAAGTACTATAGCCCAATAAAAACTCTTTTAACACCTCTTCTATAAAACACTCACATCTTTAATTGAAACTAGACTACTTCCAACAATTCACTCTTTGGGTCTCTTCAGCTCTATACCATTCTGATAGCTGTTGAGACTGGTGACTATATCTAAACTCCTTTGTGTGTGGGGTGGGGGGGACCTTCTCCAGTTTGTATTTCATTGATTTTCGTAGTACAATCATGACTTAACTCTCTATGTTACATTTTTACAGGAGTTGGGATGGATGAACAAACATTTTAAGTGTCATGGTTCCGAAAGAAAGCAAATTTTCAAAGAATTTTGAGGCTTATTCCTCTAAGAATCTTTTATTATTCTGCATAGCTTTGGCACTAACAAAGTTAAGCCAAAAACTGAATCCTCCCTTCCCCAAATACCTGTAACAAAGCATAACTCACTCCTTCATTTTACAGTCATCAATCACATTCTCCAATTAATGTGAAGTGTGAGGTGCCCCTCCCGTTGCAGCTGAGCTGACCTTGGCCACACTGTGCTCAGACATTGTTATGGTTAACTTGCATACTTTCCTATCCCCTAGACTACTACTATCTGCTTTAACTCTAGAAGTGCTATACAGGCTAAATAAAACAGGTTTGCTTCTTCATATATGGCAAGCAAGAACATCCGATGTTAGCAGTCTTGACATTAAGATTATATATAAAGTTCAAGGAGTCATGGCAAGTAGCAGTTCTTCATGAACCTTGGCTGATCTCAAAAAAATCTAAGCCAAGTTGGACCCGACTGTTATTTGGATTGGAGATCCCCAGAAAGCCTAGGCTGTAAGATGGACTGGGATGTTGTCCAAGCACCTCAGATGCAAAGTCCTTTCTATTATTTTCAGCTCCGCTCAAGAGAGCCTGCTGAAATAGTGAATTCTTGCCTGGATTGAACTCCTTGGGGAGTGTGTGGCATGTTTTACATGACTGACAAAAGTATTTATGCACATAGTTGTTTTGAAATTTGGTTGCTTGGCATTTTTCCTGGCCTGAATGTTTCTATACAAAGTATTTCTTTCCTGTTAACAATGTTAGCACTTCCCTAATTTGATTAATGTGGACAATTTTTTATAACCTCGTGAAAGATAAACAGTGGTCTGATTAAAAGAACAAGTTTATCAGTCCCTGTGTCTGCAGAATTCTATATTTAGACATCAGATATGTTCTTGCATATTTACAGAGAAAACCAAACAAAAATCCATTTGTTTCATAACTATTCACCTTTTTCTAAGTCAATCTTCTGAGCTGCAAATAAGCTGAAGAGCAAAATCTCCCATCCGTTGAACATACTGAGATATGAACAGCTCTTTCCTCTTATGCATAGTTTTTCTTTCTGAAAGTGAATAAACAAAGCTGAATGTCTTCCCTTAATTAGAGTGTCCCATTTTATCAAAACTTTGCAACTCTGAGTACTAGTTTCAGAACAAGTCAGGATATTAAACCAAGCTGAAGCCACTTTTAATATGCTAATTTTATTAGCTACAATTTCCTGATTTGGGATGGAATACAAAGAGGGTATTAGATAATTCCTGGTATGAAAATTTGCATGCAAAGATGAGAACATTTGAAAGTTTTGTATACTGATGTTCGCATTCATAAAGACTTCTGTATGACTGCAAGCCAATTTTTTTTTCATTGTTACTGCAATCAGTTATTAAGCATCTTGATTCTCTTTTCTCCCATTCTGGTGGCAACGATCACATTAGTGATTTTACATAATTTACATTTAAGCAGTTTAGACATTAGAGTCCATTGGAGCTGGGCAGCTAATGAATTCAAATAAATAAATATACAATTATTTTTATTATAGAAATCCCATCTTTGATAGTTACAGAGAGGTGCTAGTTGAATGCAATCACTGAATGTTGAACTCTGTAGGCTTTTGGATTGATCCTTTCTAGTCTTTCATAAACTTATGAGGCAAGATAGCATTAGTTAAATATTCAGCAGAAATCTTTAATGGGGAAAAAAACTTTAATGAGCCATTTAGAAGAGAAATGGCTTGGAAATAATCTTTTTGGGGGGCTTGCTGTGTACAAAAAAGGCTTAGTCCTGGTCTACATTAGGCATTAGGAGATCAGCTCTTCTTTGAACATTAACATGTATTATTTTGTCTTCGTTCCAGATATCACAGTAAGTTTGCTGTCCTTGGTGGTCACCGCATGTGGACTTGCTTTGTTTGGGGTATCTCTGTTTGTGTCCTGGAAGCTTTGTTGGGTTCCATGGCGAGAACGTGGCCTGCTAGGCAGCAAAGACAAGCAGGAATCCTTGAACTACACAGATACAGAGGCCAATGACCAAGAATATAGCGAGGAATTCCTGGGACAGCCGACTTCCTACCCTGACTCTTCCATGAAAATAAGCCACACTTCTCCAGACATTCCACTGGACGCTAAGGCAGGGACCAAGGAGAACTGCATGCACAATGTTCGGATGCATCGACAAATCACAGAGCCAACGTCTTCTGCTCGGTCAGTACTCTGATATCTGTGTAAGGATAATGAAGGAGGAGAGCAAAAAGGTCAATTCTTATCCTTCTATATCCTTAATCCCAAGGAGAAATATATATGTGGGTAGGGTGACATTCCCTTCCCCATTGTCTTACATTTCCCTTATTTGATGGGAAGCATCAGTGTAGGGCTTTTAAGGAGGATATTAAAGTACAGATTAGAAGATGCCTTGCTTTACCAAGTTTAGGAGCTGAGTCTGTAATTGGAGATGAAGTAAAGAAATACAAATCTGAGCAAAGAGAAATTAACTATGAAGGTGATAAACAAATTATATGCTTTTCCCTGGGCTTGAGCAAGATCCTATTCCTAAAAAAGAAAAGGAAGCTAGCAAATAGAAAGCCAGTTGCAAAAGACAGAGTAAGAAAGGCTAAGGAAGAAAAATATGTAGCTTTTACTGGATTAGTCAAAGACAAAGTTGAAAAACTAGAAACAAATGTTTGGGTTTTTTATAAAAAGAAAATCCATTTTTTCATGCAAAATTGGGCATTGGGCATTGAACATTGAAAAGATCTAAATGAAACTTGACAAATAAATTGTTTGGTTGGTTTTATACATAGATTAAAACTTAACCCCATAACACTATAGGGTCAGTGTCACCCACATGAATTTGCTGCTTTTATTTTTGTCCTAAGCAGCATTGTAATGTTGCAGCCCATGGAGAAAAGAGTGGTACTTGTAACACAATGCTCTTGGCATTCTCCTGACTCTGCTTGACTCAATTGCAAATGCCAGGTCTATTGGTGTTAAGATTCTTTGTCATTTTACAAATCTCATTCATGGGAAATAGGGTATTCTAACTGGGGAGTTCTGAATAATGATTTGTCTGAAATATTTCACATTGGGGAAGAATGATCTTTTTATTGAATCTCTGGCTAGAAAAGAATAAAATAAGCTTCTGGTACAGGATCTCCCTCTTTCTCTCTCTTTATGCACTGTAATTGCATTTGGTGTTATAGATGCAATCATTTTTTTTAAAAAAAAAGAAGAATTAGATTCATAGAAAATAAAGGACAGAAAGAAGGTTAAAAAGCATGAGCAAAAATCTTCTGATTTTTCAGATGGGAATGAAAACTCACCAAAATCAATCTGCAATCACTTTCCCCCCCAAAAAGTATGTGCAATGTGACCAGATGTATAGCATAGCAATAGCATTTTAGGCTCATATACCACCCCATAGTACTTTACAATGCTGTCTGGGCAATTTACAGTGTAAGCATTATTTGCATATTGCCCTCAACAATCTGGGTCCTTATTTTACCATCCTCAGAAGAATGGAGGACTGTATCAACCTTGAGCTCTGTCAGGGTAGAGCTCCAGGTTGTGGACAGAGTTTGCCTGCAATAATGCACTTTAACCACTATACCACCAGAGCTCATTTGTATGGGACTGTAGCCCCCTCCCCAGTTGAGCAGAGCAAATTAAATCAGCATATCCAGTAAACGTTTTGGATTAATGATTTACCCTCCCACAAGACTGCTTATTAAATAAATTGTTCCTTTTATAAAATTAGTTGAGCCTGCATCTTTATACATTCATGCAAACTGTTTGTTATATATGAACTACACTCTCACATACCCATGTAGAAATGCACATACACATTCACACAGAAAATATAAACCTATGCTGGCACACTCTGTTAACGCATAGTAAGTTTCAGTCTGCTCAATAGTTTTAATCCCATCAGGTGGCATCTGCAAGGGAAATAAAAAGAGGCAAGATGACAATAATTGAATCCTACCCCACTTTATATGTTTTGGTGTCAGACACATGTATAAGGGAACAGAATCAATTGTAATGCCACCTCCACTATCTTACCTGTTTTGAACCTCCCATTCACTCTCATAACTATGCGTAATACCACAGTGAAAGATCTGGTTAGCTTGGTTCAATGTCACTGCACATGAAGTGGTGTAGAAACAGAAGAAATCCTTTTATACATTGTTCACAACAAAAAATGGGTTAATAGAAGACTTAACACTAGTCTCCAAGCAGAAAGGTACATATTCAAGCCTTACTTTGTAGTAAATCATATAGGATTCAATGAATCCTACTCCCAGGTAAGTATATATAGGACCTTTGAGTCAGAATGGTAACCTCTTTATGCTCCTGTTTCATTCATTCATTTAAAATATTACTGTATATCGCTGATCTTCTTTCAGACAATTCTGGGTGGGTATCAATAAAACCATTTTAAAGGAAGACTCTGTAGAGGCTCTCCACTAATTTCAGTATTTTGATTTTCTTCATTAACATGGAAAGCCTCCATTGATGGGAGGAAGTGTCTCATTGGAAATAGTCATAAATGCAATACTAAAGAGTCTTAAAGGCCCATCTCACATGGTTGTTGTAAAAATAGGAAAGGTATTATTAAATAATGTAAATTATACTTAATATAAAGTAATAAAGGCAGGTTTTCTTAAAAATCAAATGAATGAATAAATACACTTATGTGGCTTCTTTTTTTAATTTGTGATGTGTAGGAAAGAATGCAGCATTCTTTGGTACTCACCCGTGAAAAGTCATTTTGCTGCAAGAGTTTGGAGACACTGGGAGCAAACTTGAACAAATCAAAAGTGTGTGTGTTGCAGGAGCAATCCTTCATTTACAGGCCATGTATAGCAAGAGCTATTTTCTAAACTAGACAAAATTGCCAAATGTAGTATGTGAAAGTAGCCCCAATTTAATCTTGCAAAGTATGCTCATTTGCACATATCTGCTGTGGTGAGTCCTGATGTTATCTCTGCAGAGATGTCAGCAAAAATAGAACAGGTTAATAAAACACTTGTGAGAATAAGAAATAGGAAGTGTTAGGTTTTAGCCACAGTTTTGATTGAGTGGGAGGCATGTGAAGTCACCAAGGGAGACTGACTGAATAAAATTTCTTTATATCAAGGGGTACATAACAAAAAGGTGGGAGCATGAAAGACAGTGGGCAGAACCAACATAAAAAATTTCCAGCCTACATAAAACTTGTGGGCTGAATTCCTATATTGCTGAAAATCACCAATCCCAAAGCTAATGAGACACAGCAAATAGGATTATGCCAAGCATTCAAAACGGGTGCTTCATAAAGCACATTTACGTTTCATTTATGCACAAGCCTGTTTTCTTGAAGAATTACAGCCACAACATCGTCTGATAGGATTGCAATGGCTTTGATGGCTGCTCCAGCTGCGTGAAGGTGTATCCAAGACCACTAGTGAAGCAACTGTCCATGTGCCCACAGGGTTTTGAAGTGCTTACAGTGAATCTTGAAGAGGATTCGGGGACCTATTTAACCTTAAAGGAGGGGTGCATTGTTCATACTAATATACTATACAGGTAGTCCTTGGCTTATGTTTGGTCATTTAGTGACCATTCAAAGTTACGGTGAACCCTCTATAAGGTACTTAACAACCCGGTTCCATAGTACAGAGATGGCAGCCCCCCCATAGTCATGTGACCATATCTTGGGTGCTTGGCAGCTAGTATATATGCATGGCCATTAGCAGCGTTCTATGCTGACATTGCTGAAAACTGCCAGTTACATCCTTTTTTCAATAAACAATGCTCCATAGTGAAGAGTGGGCATGCTTAACAATCACGGCATTGACTTAACAACCATAATTCACCTAATGACTATGGTGATTCACTTAACAACTGCCACAAAAATGATGTTAAAATTGGGTCATTTTTATGATGACCAACATTATCATGACTTTATGTCTATAACGGGCAGGCTCCATTAAGGTCATAAGTAGAAGACCAGCTGTGTGAAGTGCTCCTTTCAAATGCTTTCCACTGCCTGATTGACAGACAACAGAAAAGTTCCGTTTGCCTCCATTTCCATTAACGAAAGGTGCACCAGCTGCCTCTGCCACATAAAGTATTTTTATAAACTCTCCAGAATACTAGACCTGATACCGTAATGGTGGATGATAATCCGTTGTGACATAACCTGTCATAAATTTGCCTCAACCTTTTATCTGCCATTAATCTAGTGCTTAGACCACACCTTGGGGCAATGAAATCCTGTAACTTATGATAGATACTAGTATTCATAAATTTCCTGAAAGGGCTACATTCTTTTTCCAATTATGATGCCAGACTCCCTTTGTTTTCTTTTTGTGTGTGTGTGTCTAGGGTGCTACTTCTGGGTTTGCTAATTCAATGCCCATTGATCAAAGAGGAAGCATAATCATTTTGCAGCCAGTTAAGAACAAAGATGGCTTGATAATAGTAAAAATGCTAAATGAACCTTGGCTTGTTACCTTCTGTACACTTTTTAGTGCTGGGGGTGGGGGTTGCATCCAAGAATTCAGGAGTTTATTATACTTGAAAAAGGACTATGCATAGAGTAGAGAGATTTGGCTGCAAGCCTAGCTATTTGGGACAGCATTCTGAGGCACGCCAAATGAGAAAAAAGTTATAAATGTGTTTTCTTGATAATACTTTAAGCTGATTGTTTAAAGGTGAGAGATGGGACAAAGGAACATTTATATTTTTCAGAAGCTTCCCCAAAGTTGAAAATTCTATTAGTTTGTGTTATTCCATTTTACATAAGAAGGCTGCAAACCTACCGCATTTATTTCTCAAAATAAGCCTCACTAAGCTAAATTGGAATATCATTTTAATAATGTTTAATATTTTACTGTGCAAATAGCAAATTTATTCTAACATTCAAAAAGGGGGGAAGAGTGTTATTACAGGTGGTATTGCATCAGCTAGAAAAAAAGGGATGTTGCAGTGATCCTTTCCTGTCATGTTCATGTGTCTGTGTGATTTTATTGTTTAATTCTCTGTAATGAGGGTGCAGCATAATACCTACTAGAAAACAAAAGCAGTTTTGTGCGAATGACGCTTTGTAAGACGCACTGAATTACTGTATCCCTGTTTCTTTTTCTGAAATGTTGGCGGGTATGATTTATTTATGACCACTGTGAAAAATGCTTTCTTTTGTTTATCTTGTTGCTTTTAAGTTCTAGCAAATTTTACAACCAAATGGTCTCCCCACTGCCTGCTGGATAGATGACTGGTACAGGAAAAACCAAACAAAAGGACATTCCTTTGCTATTTTTCAGCATTTTATTGTTTTTATTTATGGTGTCCTACCCTGAGATTCTTTAACAAAAGATTGGGGGATATTCTAAAATTTATGTTAGAAGGCAGGGCCATAATTACAAGATATTCTGTATTTTATATGGTTGGTCAATGGATTAATATGGTTCCTGCCAGGATTCTCCTCTGAACATCAGGCATTCAAAATGCAATTTGTAGATGAATTTACCTGCAAATGCTCTTTTGCATCATTTATACTCTTCAGTTTGGCAATAATGTGAGTCTCATTCAAATATACAAGGATTCTCCCCACTGCCAACAACAATGCGGAACAAGAACAAACTGAAACCATCAGGAATGTCCCCAATCTATTTTTAAAATTATTATTTTCCTTCTTTATAAGATACATTTGTGCTGTAATTTCTTACATTACTGAGAATAGAGTAAAGTTAGAAGGCAGTGGCATTCCTAACATATTTGATACTTGATGCAAATAATTTTTAAGCCTGGGATATGGGCCCCTTGTTAGTTAACAGGAGTGTTGATTTATGACAGCCAATGACAGCCATCAATGCACCGATCAGCCAATAGGAAGGCACCACATAAACACGACACACAGAATAGCCCAAAGCACATATTCCAGTAGAGAGAAGTTCCCTGAAGATGGACTCCAGCATGAGTCCAAAAGCTCAGAAGAATAAATCTCTGGTCCTGGTGACCAACCCAAATCTGATCTCGCATTATTATCCTGGGACACATATATTTGCCTTCATTCGTAATTTTTAAACCACCCACCTTCCCTTCAGTGCCGATAGTCGATTTGATGTAATGGTTAAAGCATCAGATTAGAAATTAGGAGACTATGAATTCTAGTCCTGCCTTAGCCACAAAGTCAGCTGGGTGAATTGGGCCAGTCAGTTCTCTCAGCCATAAAAAGAAGGAACTGGCAAGCCACTTCTGAAAAATGTAGTCAAGAAAGATCCAGGAGGCAGTCACTAGGAGCCAAAACTTAATGGAAGGCACTACTTTTTTCCCTCCATTGTTCCAACATGGCAGTAGCATGGACTCTACACCCATCACCAGCCTACTTTTTGCCTGCACCAGAGAGGAATGCCCCCTCCCACTCTGTACAGGTAGTCCTCGATTACAACTGTTCAAAGTTACAACAGCACTGAAAAAAGTGACTTATGACCGTTTTACACACTATGACCATTGCAGCATACCCACAGTCATGTGATCACAATTTAGGCACTTGGCAGCCATCTCATATGTATGACGGTTGCAGTATCTCGGGGTCATATGAATCCTTTTGTGACCTTCTGACAAGCAAGGTCAATGGGGAAGCCAGATTCACTTAACAACCCTGTTACTAACTTAACAACTGCAGTGATTCACTTAACAACTGTGGCAAGAAAGGTTCTAAAATGAGGCAAAAATCAGTTAAATATTTCACTTAGCAACAGAAATGTGGTCTCTGTTGTGGTCATAAGTTGAGAACTACTTGTATCTCACTGATTTAAGGCTACCCAAATAGTCTGTGCCATTGCTCCAGCATATTAAAGCCAGAGATTTTTCACTTTTGTGAATCATGGGGGAAATGATTAAATCCAACCTGATTCCAATTCTGCTTAGAAATAGAGACCCTCATCTCAGATATTGCCATTTTGCAAGCAGTTCCCAAATATAATAATAATTCAGTGTCAGTTCCAAGCCAGCAGAACAGGAAATATTATTCCTGTTTTCAGCAAATCTTATGATTCCTTCTCGAATTCCATGTCTATTGAATCTCTGAACGTTGCAATGTCTTTAAGATTTGTAGTCAGATATCCTAAATGTCAGGACATTAATTGGCATTTCTCTTTCTTACATGGTTGTATATTGGCTATAATGAAATGTTATATGGCTTTTGTACCGTATAGTTATTTTTGGAGGGTAGATTTCTATATTTAGCATGCATCCTTTAAAAATTAAAAATAATGCCAGATTATACAAAGAGCAGGGAATTTAAAAAGTAACTGAGGTTAGTCTGATTGGATGATTTGTAGCTGGAGAAATAAATACACCAACTCAAAACACTACTATAATAGCCTGAAGTAACCAGGCTCTGAAAACTACCCCAAAGCCTAGCAATCCTTTTTAAAAGTTGGGGAATAGGGGAAGAATTCCCTTGTTAGTTTCAAAGTTGTGTCTGACCCATCGCGGCCCCATGGACAATGTTCCTCCAGGCCTTCCTGTCCTCTACCATCTTCTGGAATTCCCTTAGGAAACTCCAAAGCATTAGTTACTATGGTAGTCAAAACAGGGGCCATCGGGTCTCTTTGCACAGTATTTAAATGCGCCAATTCACATGTTTTTTATATTTCAAAGTCTTGATTTTCATATTCCTGTCCATTTATCCAATATTCATTGAATCACATTCTCTCTCTCGCTCTCCTTCTCCCCCAATAATCACTCTTGGCCAATAAAGCATTATGTGCTGTGCTGTGCTGTGCTGTGCTCTGCTGTGCTGTGCTACGCCACGCTATTCCATTCCATCCCATCCCATATCTCAGTCCTTCTCTCTTCATAATAGTATATTTTCATTTCTTTTATTTGTCCACTCTCAAAAACAGTTTTTGTTTAAAAATTACAGAACAAGAAATAAATGCAATCAATCAACCAATCAATATATTTTGCTTTAATTTAAGGCACAATTCAATACGAAGACAGCTCAATCTCTCAAATCCTGACTTCAACATCCAACAGATCCAGAAGCAGGAGCAGCTGACGGGCATTGGACGCATCAAGCCAGAGTTGTATAAGCAAAGATCAGTAGACACGGATGATGGTCGGAGAAATAATAGCAAGTCTTACGGGAAGCTCAATTTTATTGTAAAATATGATTGTGATTTAGAACAACTTATAGTGAAAATTCACAAAGCTGTCAGCCTGCCAGCGAAGGATTTTTCTGGGACCTCAGACCCTTATGTCAAGATCTACTTACTTCCAGATAGGAAAACAAAACACCAGACTAAAGTACATAGAAAAACTCTTAACCCAGTATTTGATGAAGTTTTTTTATTTCCTGTTCCTTACAAAGATTTGAGTTCAAGAAAACTTCATTTTTCTGTCTATGACTTTGACCGCTTCTCCAGGCATGACTTGATTGGCCAAGTGATAGTGGATAATTTTTTAGAGTTATCCGACTTTCCTAGGGAATGTAATATTTGGAAGGATATTGAATATGTCACAAATGTAAGTATATCCTTTTTAATTCTGAAATTCACTATTTCGTTATACTGTCAGCCTGTTAATCTGCAAACAAAACAGAAAACAACCCTAGATGTTTCAACCTACTGCAGACAACAGTGATAAGTGTAATATTCAAACAGGAATTACTTTCTAGTTACAAATATATTTGTAACAGTTAGTCCTCGATTTACAAGCACAATTCATCCCAAAATTTCTGTTGTTAAGCAAGGCAGTTGTCAAGTGAATTTTTCCCCATTTTACGATCTTTCTTGCCACAGTTGTTAAGTGAATCACTGCAGTTGTTAAATTGGTAACATAGTTGTTAACTGAATCTGGTTTCCCCATTGACTTTGTTTTTCAAAAGGTCACAATAGGTGATCACAGACACAGCAACCATCATAAATACAAGTCAGTTGCCAAACATCTGAATTTTGATCACATGACCATTGGAATGCTACAATGGTTGTAAGTGTGGAAAAACAGTCATAAATCACTCTTTCCTGTCATGTTGTACTTTGTTGTATATGGGAGATATAATTCATAACAGAAGTCTCTGCGGTGAGGAACATTGCTTACAAATTCTATACAGATAGATGAAGGAGGTTTTGTGTACAATGAGCAGGAAGGAGTACAGTATTTGAAAGGAATGTTACATGTGTTTATAAAGATGGTTTTTGGAAAGGGAAGTGGAAGGATAAGGAATTAACTCATTGGTCTTTTCCCATAAGTACTCAGAAGAAGTACATGGTTCTCTCTCAACCCCTGTTTATGCTGTAATTGATGAGGCAAAATTTGGTTTTGATTGCAAGGTTCACTCCAACTTGATGGCCATTGAATCCAACACTCCTCCTCGACATCATGATACTTTGTATAAAATCTCAGACTTGGAACAAAGGAGCCAGACTCCCATAATTTTGCTCTTCTGAATTTTTTTTTAAAAATTATTTTGCTTTTTGTTGTAATGCAGGTTTTGGAACCATAATGGAAATCCCTATAAAGTTCTTTGCTAACTACCTTGGATTTTCTGGCAATAGATGCTATTTTAAAAATGATGGTCATTATTTGGACATTAATTGATTTTGTTTGTGAATTCACAAATTTCAACATTCATTCCCCAAACTTTCCAGAACATCTTGAATTTATAATCTAAGGAGCCCAAGTGTGTTTCCCTAACCTTTTTTAAACTCTGAATGCCCTTTTACAACATGGGCTCCACAAATGACATTAAGACAGAAATAAAATCTGCTAGTTTGATCCCTTTTCAATTGTTAAGAAAAGAAAACCACACATTTATTTGCCATGTATTGCAAGGAGCCGCAAATCTTGGGAAAGCTAGGCAGAAGGAATGATGGTTACAAAAACAACATTTTACTTTAAGCTCAGGCAACAATGCAGATCTGAGAAAGAAACTCAGACTGATTCCTTCATAATTCATTATAAGAGATATGGAGAGGAGAACTCAGTCAGGCTTTCAAGATTCTATTATTATAGCTTATATCTATATAGTTCATGTCAAGATTTGTGAGGTCTTTTTCCTGACCTGGCCTATGTCAAAGGGTTGACATATAGACAATTCAGGAAATATAAGATATTTGTGAAGCTTTCCTCCATTCCTTCAGTGAAAGATATCGCAATGCAAGGGAAGGGAAGGGAAGGAAGGAAAGAAAGAAAGAAAGATGGATGGATCTGGGTAACCTTAAGCCTGTCAGTTTGATGTCTACACTGGACAAGGTCTTTGAACAGATGTCTGTGAGCACTTGGAAAAACATTCTACAAATACCAAAAGCCTGGGCATGATCACATAAATCATGCCAAGCTAAACTCCTCTCCATATTTGTCAGATCTTCAAGAAAGGTCAGATCAGGAAGTAGACAATACAAGGACTGCTGGAACTCTCTTATTATAAGATACAATAATAAAATCTTGAAAAGCTGTCAAATGGTATTCAAGAGGAGGCAAAACTCAGAGAAAGTGACATTTTCTAAATAAGGAACCCATGAATTTTATTTGCAAATTTTTATTTTCTAACTTTCTGTCGAGTTAAAATTCAAAATTAACAGGGTGATTCAAGATTTCTTCATATTTGCCTACTGTCATGGAGGACAGAAATAGTTCTCACACATGGTAAATTTCATGTAAGACCCTTGTGTGGTAAGCATTGTGTCAATGCTTTTTGCCACATTTTATGAATCTTTTGCCTGAACTGAGCGATAAGAAAAATAGAACTGATTTACTGTTCAGAAAAGAAAACATATGGACACATTTTGATGTTCAGTTGTAAATGTTAATAGCTGTTCCAGTGTTTTTAATTTATTCATCAGTTTGAAACATACTTAGTCCTGAAACCACTGCACTTATTTCTGAATAAATATATTTAGGGATTGTTTTGTCTGTTTAGCTCACCATTTTTCAAGGGATTCTGTGTCACCTGCACTTAAACCATGAGCAGTCAAATCCAAGAAGTAATAATAGATTGAAAAAATATACAGACTCTATCAGAAGGAAAATCTCAAATCATATTTTTGCAAATATAGATTATTGCAGATCTAGATTCTTGCAAATTCCACGGGGAAAAGAATATAAAAATATATTCCTAATTGGTAGTACAGACAAGCATGTACTTCTCTCAGGTGAACTACTTTGAGTTCTGTATGTCTCCTGAACAGCAGGTTTCCTACAGTGTGTTGAGCATTTTAAAGAAGAATTGGAATACAACTCTAATAAATCAAAGGTATAGTGTAATATCATAATGGCATTTGTTGGCTACATTCACATAATATCTCTACCATACTTATTTGAATAAACGTTGATAAATTAGTCCATGTTTAAAAAATGTACAGCACACTTAACTAGGCACATAAAACAAGACCAGGTAGCCCAGAGCCAGTAGAAATGTAGCCCTACATAAAATTTGCTACACTTGATTGCTGATCTCTATTCTGCCACAAGTAACAAGGGCAACAACTAGCACTTCCTTACTGTTTTAATATAGGACAATGACTCTAGCAATATTTCCCATCACCTTTTTTCCCATATCTATGGGCAAACCATTACAAATTCTGTTTATATAAAGCACCACACACAGCAAGCAAAGAATACAGTCGCCATGTGCTTTACTGCTCAACTATTTAACTGTAACAGGAAGCAGGAAACTCTACTCAGAACAAAAGAGCATAGAGTATATATCATAGATCCAAACTTGTAAATATTACCATCTGCTGGCTGAATACTACTGTAGTTGTTGCTTAGAAATACATTCCAACAATGAATTCCAACACAAACACTGTCTCTAGTGTGGGGTGGAGTGAGATTGGGGAAGTCTGAGTGGGTGTTTGGAACAGTGTAAAACTGCATAACAAACACATTGTGGGGAAGCAGCAGGGAGTGATGGATAGTACACAGTTTGTATCTGCTATGAGTGCTGCAAGGGAAGGATGGTCCTATCCAGTGCTTTTTTTCTTTAAAAAAAAAAAAAAAGGTGCCGGAACTCACACATGTCATACAACCTGCCTTGCCTACCCTACAAAGTTCCATCCCAAAAAGGTGCCGGAACTCCATTCTGGGCGTTCTATGAGAAAAAAAGCTCTGGTCCTATCACTGAATTCTTTCCTCAGGGATGGCAGCTGCCATGCTTAGCCCATGGACAGTCAGGAAACTAATTGTGTAGGCAAAATGATACTCCTCACTCTTTTTTAAAAAAATAATATTTTATTAATTTTCCAGTTTTACATTTAGGTATTTAAAAAGCAACGTGGTGTTTGGGTTAATCAATAGTTCGATAACAAAATCTTTAGTACAAATCTCAAATTGAAACATCAAATATTTCTTCTCTTTTTCCCTTAACATTTACTATCTCATATTCAACTAGTACAGTTCTTATTACATCAACTCAATAAAAACATCATTATTACATTTAGCAATAATTTTTAGCTTATACGTATCTTAATTACATTCAATCTTCATAAATAATCCATATCCTGTTATTAATGTTTACCCAATTTTTAGTTTCTCATCAATATTCCAACTTAACCTTTGATATTTATAATTTTCAAGCTTTAGGTAACCAAGATTTCCCTTATCTCAATTCATAACAAAATCTAATATCCAAAATACACATTTTATCTATTTGAATATAATCTTATTCTATTTCCTAAGAGCTATCTATTTCCCACCATATTAAATCATCTACTTAATAATACAATATCCCCTTTAATCCTCACTCTTAAGTAGCAGAAGGAATGCAAAAAACTAGACCGCTCATAATACCGGTATATTAGGTCATCATTCCAAAGCTATTTCCTTCCCTTCTCTATTGACTTTGAATGAAAAATAAATAAGCTGTTTGAGTACACCCACAACCCACACACTGCTGGGGACTGAGAATCAATTTTTTTGTGGTTACATTTGCAAAATAAAATACACATAATGTAAGAAATATCTGAAAACCATATTGAAGTGATCACCAAACAACGCGATCTGCCATTTTTTCCGCCATTTTTCCCCTTTTCCTTAGCTCTGCTACTCCCTCTTATTCTATTGGCTTTCAAAAGCCAATAGAATAGACTCTCTTGAACAGAGTCTAATTCTATTGGCTTTCAAAAGCCAATAGGAATTGTCCAGGGCTGTCTCTGCCCTGCTGAGCCCGCCAAAAGCCCCAGTCTGCAAATGGTGCTGCAACGGGAACAGTCTGCAGAGCTTCCCTCCCTGCTGAGCAACTAAAAAGTAAGTAAAAGAGGGCCGGGGGTGGGAGGTGGGAGGCCAGTGGGTGCAGGGAGGGTTGCTGACACATGTGGGGCCCAGCAGGTGCCTTACCTGCCTTGGGCTGGGCCAGCTCGCCCTGTGCCGCCGCGGCCGCCTGGGAGGGCCTGGGCCTGCCTGCCGCTGCCCCGAATGAGCGGCGGCCAAGGTAAGCCTAGCGGGGCAGCGGCGGGCACAGGGAGGGTTGCTGGCACACGTGGGGCACGGCAGGTTCCTTACCTGCCTTGGGCTGGGCTAGCTGGTGG